GTTCTGATTTTTTTTTTAGAGCCGTGAGTGCAATTTATACGCATTTATTGGGAATGCTCAGAAGTTGTTTACTGATGGGAGTGCCATCAGAAGAGTTTGGGGACCACCTCCTAAGGAAGGGAAGAGCTGGCCACAGTTAGAGCAAGCCTGTAGGGGGACCTGCTCTGTGTTCCAGCTGCAGACTGCACCATCCCCTCCTGTTACTCTTCCTTCACCTGAGACAGTCGAGGCCACAGCGTCAGCCAGGGCCAGAGCTGGGATTTGAACCCAGGCACTCGGGCTCCAGAGCCACACTGCCCCAGCGTGGGGCTTACAGGCTGCTCCTGGCCCTAACTGAGGGACCAACTGAAGCCTGGAAAGCAGGTGCTGGGCCAGCGTCTCCCTGGCGGGAATCCTCTCCATCCAGCCTAACCCAGCAGCCTCAGGTCCACAGAGCTGCCTTGGGAAACTCGGCAGAGCCCTGGCTTCCTGCAGAGCCCTGTTCTTCCAGTCTGCTTCACGGCTCCCTGGTTGAGCCAATCTTGCAGATCCGTGGGGTGAAGGTACCCACACCGCCTGGGCCTTAGTGGTGTGTGCGGACCTGCAGTAGAAGGGTTACCGAGTGTGAGCGGCAGGCGGGGGCCCATGCAGGTGAGGCAGCTGGCAGCAAGGGCAGGGCTGGGACCCCCTCCCAAGGCTGTGTCTGACATTCTTGAGCCTATTCAGGGTTCCTTTTCCAAGCCTCCTGCCCTCCCGCCCCCACCCCTGCCATGCTGCAGTGACTGTAAACCTCTCAGCCTTGGAGAAGCTGCTATAAGCTGGCCACATCCCAGCGACTCTGATGTGGTTGGTCTGGGTGTGGCCAGCAGCCAGGGCATCGGGACTTTTCCATGCTCCCAGGTGACTCACCCACAGCTGGGGCTGAGAACTGTCAGGAGGGAAAGTCAGAAGTCCCAGGATGCACCTGAAAAGCCTCTAGCTCCACCAGTGACCAGCTCCTGGCCAGACTCTTGGCCTGGACTCAGCCAGCACCCGAGAGGCCTCTCGCCCTCAGGGCTGGGGACTTCTTCACGTGGTCATCAAAGACTTGGCCAGTTCCACCTCTCTGGCTGCTGTCCTTGTCCCACCCAGTGTCACATGACCCAACAGTTCACCAAAAAACACGATGAAGCGCTGCCAGTGCCAGGTCCTATTCTGGGGACTGGCAGTGAGGCCAAGCAGGAAGCAGGGAGCTCTGGGTTCTGTCTGGGGGGGTGACAAGCCTGGACCAGATAACAGTGACTCATGGCCGGGTGCGGTGGCTCACGCCTGTAATCCCAGCACTTTGGGAGGCCGAGGCGGGTGGATCACGAGGTCAAGAGATCGAGACCATCCTGGTCAACATGGTGAAACACCGTCTCTACTAAAAATACAAAAAATTAGCTGGGCATGGTGGCGCGTGCCTGTAGTCCCGGCTACTCGGGAGGCTGAGGCAGGAGAATTGCCTGAACCCAGGAGGCGGAGGTTTCGGTGAGCCGATATCACGCCATTTCACTCCAGCCTGGGTAACAAGAGCAAAACTCCGTCTCAAAAAAAAAAAAAATAGTGACTCATGTTAATTAGCAGCTTAGGCCCAAAGGCGGCCCGTGGACCAGTGGCCTCAGCACTCCTGGGAAAAGGTTAGAAATGCACATTCCCAGGCCCCACCTCGGCCTCCTGAATCAGAGCATCCCTTCGGCAAAACATACTGAGAAGCAACCATGTGCATCACCCAGTGCTGTGAAGAAGACATGCTTTGAGACCTTGAAGGAATCATGAAACTCTGGGCCTCCATGTGCTCACCCAGGGCATGATGAAGATGCCATGCTCCCCAACGTGGCCTCCAAGATTAAGTGAGCAATGACATTTTTTTGAGGCAGTCTTTTTGTCGCCTAGGCTGGAGTGCAGTGGCAAGACCTCGGCTCACTGCAACCTCTGCCTCCCAGGTTCAAGCCATCCTCCTGCCTTAGCCTCCTGAGTAGCTGGAACTATAGGCACTTACCACCATGCCCAGCTAATTTTTTGTTTTGTTTTTGTTTTTGAGATGGAGTTTTGCTCCCGTTGCCCAGGTTGGAGTGTAATGGTGAGGTCCCAGCTCACTGCAACCTCTGCCTCCCAGGTTCAAGCCATCCTCCTGCCTCAGCCTCCCAAGTAGCTGGGACTACAGGTGCCCAACACCACACCCGGCTAATTTTTTGTATTTTTAGTGGAGAAGGCATTTCACCATGTTGGCCAGGCTGGTCTCAAACTCCTGACCTTAGATGATCCATCTGCCTCATCCTCCCAAAGTGCTGGCATTACAGGCATGAGCCACTGTGCCCAGCCCATGCAGTGACTTTTGAAGTGTCCCCATGGGGACCTAGAAGTGCAGTGGTGGCTCCTGTTACAATGTGGTCACTGGCCTGAAGGAGCCAAATGGGAGATGATGGGGAGTGGACCTGGGGCCCCCTGTGATTGGGACCACCCAGAAAGACAGCCCAGGGGGCCTTGGGGGATGGGTCTCTTCCCTCAGGAGGGCTCATGGAGCTGGTGACAAGCAGGGCTTTGGAGAAAGGGAGGCTTTGGACAGGAGCTGAGAGTAGAGAGGGAGCCTGAGCAAAGATGTGGTGAAGGGACCACAGGGAAGACTGGAAAGCTGGAAATCTGAGGCCTCTAGACTGGGATGGAGGACACAAGGCGACAGCCAGTGTGAAGATGGAACCAGTGCTCCGGCAGGCAGCGTGTGCCGTGGGCTGGGACGATTTTCTGTAGATGACAGGCAGCTGGAGGGCCATGACCTAATGAGGGGCTCTGCCAGGAGCTTCGATGTCCCGCCAGGCAGACAGGGACTCTCTAGGGCTTATGTAGCAGGCGCAGTAAAGGTCTCACCAGATGGGCGAGCCCACTGCAGGTGTGGTGTCCCAGCTGCCCCTAGCCTTGGGGACTCCTGGGCCCTCCACTGCCCAGCCCTGAGAGATGTCCCCCATCTTTCTGTGCCCCTAAAACCCCGCTATGCTGGCCGGGGGAGCGCAGAGCAGACTCTTGCCCACAGGACCCTTCCAGGGACAGTACAGGGAAGGAAATGTGGAGATGCTGGGAAGAGCACTTGTTACTGAGGACAGTGGCCTCTGCGAGCAAAAATCACAGAATATCAGCCTGAAGCAGGTGGCTGGAGAGCTTTTGGGGATCCCCAAATTCCACAAAAGGTGGCCTGGGGGTGACCTTGGAGGTGTGGCTATGTCCTGGCCTACTTTGCAGGCTGGACAGAGGGGCAGCGGCATCCAGAGAACTGGGCAACCAGATGGGTGCACAAGTGATTCCTGGGGGTGCGGGGCGCAGGAGGGATGTTGGGGTCCCCCGAGGTCTGGGGAAAATGGCCCACGAGTCTGCCTTGTGCTCTGACTCCAGCTTCCCCACACTCTGGAAAGAAGAAGGGCTTCTCATGAGCGGCCTTATCTCAAGGTTCCCCTGAACACCACAAGGAGAGACAGTGAGTTTCCCCTCAGGCGAGAGATTGCCAGCAGTCCCGGCCGGCCCCGGGCAGCCAGCCAGCCCCACGGCCACCTGTCGGCCCTCAGTCTTCAGTCCCCTCCCCCACCCGCCTGCAGCAGAAGTGAGAACAGACGGTTGGGAAGGGAAGGGAGTTTTGCTGGGAAACTAAGAGATAATGCTGTTGCTCCCCAGCTGGGAGAACTGAAAGCAGAGAGGTCGGCGGGCGCCCAGCAGGCAGGCTCCGTCCCCGGGACCATGGGCAGCAAGTGGCAGAAACGGACTCAGGCCAGCTGGGAGAGGGGGCCACCGAGGGGTCAACAGAGCCAGTCTGCAGTGACCTCCAGGACACCTGCACCTGCCTCCCCGCTGTCCTTTTGGCCACTCCCTGGTCAGCCAGGCCACCCCCTCAGACCAGCCTCCCATGCACCCAGGCCTCGGGCACAGTGCGTCCCCCTGAGAAAGGCCAAGAGGAGACCTGGGGCAGGTCTGCCTTCCTCGGTCCGGTGTTCACTCCTGGACTGTGCCCAGGGGCAGGGAGCGTGTTTGACCAGCCAGGTGCCACAGGTGGCAGCAGCTCCGGAGGCAACTGGTCACCTGGCCGCGGGGCACACATTCCTGAAGGAGGCAGGCAGGAAGGGCGTTTCCCACACAAAGTAACTGAGCCTGGCAAGAAAGCTACAGGCTGGTCCACCAGCCCCAGGCCCAGGTGGGGCACAAAGCCCGGTGCAGTGGCCCAGGGAGGAGCTGGCAGGGTCCTGGCCTCCCTCCCCTTCGCCCGCAGATCTCTCTGTGTTTTGGGGACTGCCTGGCCTCAGCGCTGGCGTCAGGGCTCTGGGAGGCCCTGCTCACCTCCACCCTCCCTGCAGGTGCAGGAGGCTTGGCCGCTGAGGCTCTGTGCTCACACCGTCTGCGATGCAGCTGGGTCTGCTGGGGCCGAGGCCAGCACTGGGGCCAGCTCCCTGGGGAATGACCATCCACCTGTCCTCCCAGCACCCTCAGTGGGGCCTGAGGAACTTCTGAAGGGCAGAGCTTGGGCACACCACGTCACATTCCAGGAGCAGGGGCCTCATCGCTCTGGGGCTGGGTGCAGCCTTGGCCACCAGGCTCTGAACCATCATGGGATGGGCGGGGCTGCCTCTCCTCAGCCCAGCAGGTCCCCAGCTGGGAAAGGACCCAGTGATTACATGAGGGTCACCTGGGTCATCTAGACAGCCTCCTCCTCTCAAAATGAGGAGATTCGCAGCCTTAATTCCCCTTGCCAAGTAACACGGTACTCATGGGCTCCAGTGATTACAGCACGGACACCTTTTTTTTTTTTTTTTTTGAGATGGAGTCTCGCTCAGTCGCACAGGCTGGAGTGCAGGTAGTCTGATCTCGGCCCACTGCAACCTCCACCTCCCAGGTTCAAGCAATTCTCCTTGCCTCAGGCTCCCAAGTAGCTGGGACTACAGGCACGTGCCACCATGCCCTGCTAATTTTTGTATTTTTAGTACAGACAGGGTTTCAACATGTTGGCCAGGCTGTTCTCGAACTTCTGACTTCAGGTGATCCGCCCACCTCAGCCTCCCAAAGTGCTGGGATTACAGGTGTCAGCCACACGCCAGGCTGAGCATGGATATCTGCCCGCCACATGAGCCCAGGGTCCTGCGGCTCAGAGCTGACTGCTGAGTCTAAGCCCTGGTCTGGCTTCAAGGTCCAAACTCCTTCTACTTCTCTGGGGACTGAGGGAGAGTTTGCTGTACTGAGCCCGCTGGGGCTCTCTGGGCCCAGCCCTGGTAGCTGAGGCCCTGCGGTGCTGCCGCCTCCAGGTTATCTCCCCGCTGCAGGCACCCACCCAAGGAGCATCCCAGGGGCCCCAGGGCGGGGGAGGCAAGGAGCTAGGAGGTCCTCACCGCCTGAGCAGAGGCCCCACACCCACGAGGCATGAGGCTCCCTGGGCTGCTCTGCTTGGCTGTGCTAGGTAAGTCCACCCGGGACGTGATGGCAGGGCTGCTGCCAGAGCCTTGGGGCCACAGGCTCAGGTGGGGGTACTGGGAGCACAGGGGAGGTGAGGCCTGAAGCAAGGGAAACCTCTGGAAACAGGGCAGAGAGGGAAAGATCGGGGCTTGAGTCTCGGACCAGCCCCTATACTTGCTGCACGTGTGGTCGCGGGACTGCGTCAGCATTCGGGGCCCACTACTTACCCATCTACATAATGGGCTGATGATAGGAAATGGCGGCGGGGTGGACACGCAAGAGCTTTTGTGAGTGATGGTGCTGGTGGAGTCCTGGGGCCTCACTACCAGGAACCAGCCTGCTCCTCCCTCCTGGCTTCAGCAGGTGGGTCTCGAGGCTGTCTCTGGCCCCCTTCCATCCCAGGCTGTCTCCTTACCGCCCTCACCTCTCTTACAGCCGCCAGCAGCTTCTCCGAGGTGCAGGAGGAAGGTAAGTGGCCCTGCACGCTGGAGGGAGAAGTCCCCCAGCTGGGACCCTGGTGTCAGAACCCGCACTGTGGAGGGTGCCTCGGCTGGGGAGGAGGTGTGTGCTGGAGGATGGCTGGACAGTTTTCCACGCTGCAGGGCTCTAGGGTTGATGGAGAGGGGTGGGCTGAGCAGGCCAGTGTGGGGACCTCCGGGGGGCACGGTCGGGGAAGGCACCCAGCTTCCAGCTGTGGCTGGGCTGTTTGGAGAGGGGATTCCCTGGGCATCCTCATCACCCTGCCCCAGGTCCCTGATCGGGAGCAGAAGCCCCGCTGGGAGCCCCACAGCTCTGCCAGGGGGTGAGGCCCCGTGGAGGGCTGGGGGATTCTGGTGGGGCCTGGGAGGTCAGGATCCTCCCTCCAGGTAGAAGCCATGGGAGAATGGCCAAGTCGAGGCTCCTCCAGGACCTGCCATACAGGGGGCTGCCTTCCTCATGGAGGCAGCCAGAGAGTGGATAGCGTCTGGGGCCCAGCTGGGTACAGGACCAGGGAGGAGGGGACACTGGGGAAGGTCCCTGGCAGCCCCTGGCCTGGCCTGCTTTCTGATCTTTGTGTGCTCCATCCTTCCTCCCCTCCCCTCATGTCCCTTAAGGTGAGGATGGGGTCGGGTGTGGTGCTCATTCCTGTAATCCCAGCGCTTTGGGAGGCTGAGGCGGGCAGATCATGAGGTCAAGAGATCGAGACCATCCTGGCCACATGATGAAACGCCGTCTCTACTAAAAATACAAAAATTAGCTGGGCGCAGTGGCGCATGCCTATGATCCTGTCTACTCGGGAGGCTGAGGCAGAAGAATTGCTTGATCGCAGGAGGCGGAGATTGCAGTGAGCCGAGATCACGCCACTGCACTCCAGCCTAGTGACAGAGCAAGACTCTGTGTCAAAAAAAAAAAAAGGTGAAGATGGACAGCCACTTCCCTGTGTTGTCACACCAACCCTTACCCCTTGTCACTAGGCCCTCAAGTTACAGAGCAGGGCCTTTCCCTCTATTTTGCTAAAGGGCAGGTACCGGGTAATGATGACGCTGGGACCTCACTGAATGACGCCCAGGCTGAACCATTGTTTCCTGATTTGCTTTAAAAACCGAAACATTGTTGGTGTGGTTGCTAAAAAGAGGAGCAGGCAGCTGGGGCTGGGGAAGTACCTGCGGGTCAGTCTGGCCTCCCCGTCTTGGCTGCCTCCCGACTTCTGCTCCGATTCTTGCCAACCAAGTCCTGCTAACTAAACTCCTAAGAGACTGACTGATAAATCATTCATTCTTTCAACAAATACTTGAACACCTATTTGGTTGCAGGCACCATTCCAGGCCCTGAGAATTTGGCGAGGCCTGGAAACAAACCCTCCTGTATCTTACGTTCTAGTTGGGGTTGATAAAAATAAACACATTCGGTGGTTATGCCTGTTATCCCAGCACTTTGGGAGGCTGAGGCCAGAGGATCAGTTGAGCCCAGGAATTCAAGACCAGCCTGAGCAACACAGTGAGACCCCATCTCTACAAAATACAAACTTTTTTTTTTGAGATGGGGTCTCACTCTGTCGCCCAGGCTGGAGTGCAATGGCTCGATCTCAGCTCACTGCAACCTTCACCTCCTGGGTTCAGGAAATGCTCCCACCTTAGCCTCCCGAGTAGCTGGGATTACAGACGTTCACCACCACACCTGGCTAATATTTTTGTATAAAATTTTTTTTTTCTTAATTAACTGGGCATGGTGGGTGGTGCACCTGTGGTCCCAGCTACTTGGAAGGCTGAGTTGGGAGGATTGCTTGTCCCGGAAGGTGAGGCTGCAGTGAGCTGTAATTGTAACACTGCACTTCAGCCTGGGTGACAGGGTAAAGAAAGTACATTCTATAGTATGTTAGAATGTTCTAGAGAGTAGCAAGCAGGGTAGAAGGAAAGGGAATGCAGGGCAGGTAGAGGGAGGGAGTGCAGTGTTTGGGGAGGGGCCATGCAGCAAGGACCCAAAGGAGCTAACAGCAGGAGGTACCTGGGCAGGGACCCAGTGTGGCGGAGCACAGGAAGCAAGGTGCAAAGCGTGTTGAATGAGGCCAGAGGCGTGGCGTGGGGTTCACTGCGGAGGGCCCTGTGGGAGGCAGCCGTGGGAGGTTTGGAGGGGAAAACGCAATCTGATTGGCCCTTGATGAGATCACTTGGGAAGGAGATCAAAGGCAAAATCCAAGAGAGGCATTAGGCGACCCTGGGGATCCAGGGAGAGACTGGGCATGCGGGAGAGGCCGGGAGACAGGGTGGATGTGATTCTGGAAGCCAACAGCAGCCGCTGGCAGATGGCATGAGATAGGGTGGGATGAGAACACCCATGAAAGATGGCGCCAAGCCAGCTGCAGTGGCTCATGCCTGTAATCCCAGCAGCACTTTGGGAGGCTGAGGCGGGCAGATCACCTGAGGTCAGGAGTTTGAGACCAGCCTGACCAATATGGTGAAACCCTGTCTCTACTGAAAATAAAAAAATTGGCCAGGCGAGGTGGTTCACTCCTGTAATCCCAGCACTTTGGGAGGCCGAGGCAGGCAGATCATGAGGTCAGGAGATTGAGACCATCCTGGCCAACATGGTGAAACCCAGTGTCTACTAAAAAAATACAAAAATTAGCTGGGCGTGTCGGTGTGCACCTGTAGTCCCAGCTACTTGGGAGGCTGAGGCAGGAGAATTGCTTGAACCCGGGAGGCAGAGGTTGCAGTGAGCTGAGATCGTGCCACTGTACTCTAGCCTGGTGCCTGGTGACAGAGCGAGACTCTGTCTCAAAAAAAAAAAGAAAATACAAAAATTAGCTGGGTGTGGTGGCACATGCCTATAATCCCAGCTACTCAGGAGGCTGAGACAGGAGAATCTGTTGAACCTGGAAGGTGGAGGTTGCAGTGAGCCGAGATTGTGCCACTGCGCTCCAGCCTGGGCAACAAGAACTCTGTCTAAAAACAAAACCAAGATGGCACCAAGGTCCTTGGCCCACCTAGAAGGACTGGCTAAATAAAGTGCAGCCTGACGCCGGCACAGTCTGCAGCCAAAACAGCTTCGGTGGGAGCGGAAAGCGGGCACCAGTGAAGGAACCAAGGAATTGGGATGTTAGAAGGACGGTCTCAGTGTAGGTTGGGTTTTTTGTTTTGTTTCATTTTGCTTTCGGACGCAGGTTTCATTCTGTCACTGAGGCTGGAGTGCAGTGGCATAGTCACCACTCACTGCAGCCTTGACCTCCAGGGCTTAAGCAGTCCTCCTGCCTCAACCTCCCAAGTATCTGGGACTACAGGCACATACCATCACACCCAGTTAATATTTAATTTTTTTTTTAAGACAGGGTCTTGCTCTGTTGCCCAGGTTGGAATGCAGTGGCACAATCTCGGCTCACTGCAGCCTCCATCTTTCAGGCTCAAGCCATCATCCTGCCTTAGCCTCCAGAGTAGCTGGGACTCCAGGCATGCACCACCATGCCCAGCTAATTTTTGTATTTTTTTTTGGAGACAGGGTTTTGCTGTGTTGGCCAGGCTCGTCTCAAACTCAAGGTCAAGTGATCCACCCGCCTGGGCCTCCCAAAATACTGGGATTACAGGCACGAGCCACCCTGCCCAGCCTAATCTTTTTTGTAGAGATCGGGTCTTCCTATTTTGCCCAGGCTGGTCTTGAACTCCTGTCCTCAAGCAATCCTCCCTCCTTGGCCTCCCAAAGTGCTGGGATTATAGGTGTGAGCCACCATGCCTGTGTATTTTGAAATCCCCAAGAATTCTGGCAAGTGTAGTGTTAAGCATGGTAGGAACCACGGACAGGCATCTTCAAGGAGGGACGGGTATCGGTAGATAACTGTAACCCAGAAGGCAAAGTGGAATGTATTTGAAGACATATCTGTTGTTTAGCAAGAGGGAGGGGAAAGTTTAGGGAAGGAGAATTGTCAAGAGGATGTTGTCCTCCTTTGTCCCTGCCCAGTGCCATGAAGGCTGCCAGGATCCACATCGCCAGGACAGCTGAAGGGGTAGACAGTGCACTTGGGAGGAGGGACCCGGTTTCCATCAGACGTAGAGGATGGAGGATGCTGCTTGGAAGGTCGAGGACATAGGGAATTTTGATTCTGGCTGAGCCTACAGTCCAAAGGGCACTGAAGAGGCCAGGCATGCTGGCTCATGCCTATAATCCAGGACTTTGGAAGGCCGAGGCAGGCGGATCACTTGAGGTCAGAAGTTCAAGACCAGCCTGGCCAACATAGTGAAACCCCATTTCTACTAAAAATAAAAAAAAAATTAGCCGGGTGTGGTGGCAGGAGTCTATAATCCCATCTACTCAGGAGGCAGGAGGATCACTTGAACCTGGGAGGTGGAGGTTGCAGTGAGCTGGGATGGTGCCACTGCCTTCCAGCCTGGGCAACAGAGTGAAACTTCATCTCACAACAAAACCAGAACAAGGCTGGGCATGGCGGCTCACGCCTGAAATCCCAGCACTTTGGGAGGCCGAGGTGGCCAGATCACCTAAGATCAGGAGTTCCAGACCAGCGTGGCCAATATGGTAAAACCACATCTCTACCAAAAATGCAAAAATCAACCGGGCATGATGGTGCCACCCTATAATCCCAGCTACTTGGGAGGCTGAAGCACGAAAATCCCTTGAACACAGGAGGCAGAGGTTGCAGTGAGGCAACATTGCGTCCCTGCACTCCAGTCTGAGTGACAGAGCAAGACTCCGTCTCTGAAAAAAAAAAACAAAAACAGCAAAAGACAACCAAAAAACAACAGCAACAACAAAGGAAACACAGTCTCTGACAGTGCTGGAAGCTGAATTCCAAGGCCCAGAGTCCGAGGATGGGTCCTCCCCAGGCCCTGCGGGAGCACCTGCTCCTGGCTCCTCCCCTGTTTCTGGGGATGGCCTCCCTCACTGCGGTTTCCCTGTGAGTGTCCGGGTCTCCTTTCATCTTCTTATCAGGCCCCACCCTATCCAGCATGAATTACTGGAGTTAATATTTAACTTGAGAGAGG